TACATGATCTCCTTCTCGGCAATGGTCTCATCGAGCAAACTCTTCACTAGTTCGCATTGTCGTCGGCTGTTTGATAGCTCGAACTTCGTTTGTTGGAGCTACCATACCACACGGTCAGCGACGCTCTTTCAATGAAGCGGAATAAATACCTCTTTGGATTGATCATTGAGGTGCCTTAACTTGGAGTAGAGATCATGATAGTCGGTGGAAGTCCGTTCCATCTTGGTAGCAAGGTCGTCGACCAGGTTGCCAAGCGACGCGGCAGTCTTGGAGAACCCGCCGTCCCCAGGAGCCGGGCTCATGGCACGCGCGAGTGAGGGAGATGGGAATGGTCGTGTGGGCGTGGCATATTCTCCCTGTCTTCGCCCGATTGCCTTGCGCATCTCTTCCATACGTTCTTGAGCCGCCTTTGTCTATCCATTCCACCGTTAAGCTTTGTTAGAAACCCTGAAGATTTTGGGACGAACCATAGCAGGCGTCTGCCGTAGACCTCTAAAGGCTTTGTCAGGTGAAGAGGGTCTTGAAATGTCGTCGCCAGATGGTGGGACGGATTTCAGCTCTTCCACCTCCAATCTAATCCGTTTGACAGCCCGGTTACACGAGTCAACCTAAGAAATGAAACGTTAGCCTGTAGGGAGAGTCGGGCATACAAAAACGAGCGTACATCTTCTTTTGTTGTTTCTGCCAATCGCATAATGTCGTCATGGTCTTCACGTTTGAGAGATCCATTCCTGGTGGGGGTGGTATGGTTGTGTTGCCGTACCTGGGGCGAAACCTTTCTGGCTGATACGGGCCTAGGTCGAGAAAGTGGAGAATTGCGGGATGAAGTGCGCCATGCTGGGGATGGGGATGGGAGCATGGACGCCGACGAAATGGAAGTCGTTTTCTTCTTAACCGACAAAGGCGCAACACTAGGCGTCGACGGTGGAGGCGGTGAAGCCTCTCGCTGTTCGCGAACCTGGGTTCCACTAGCTTTAGGCGTCGCATCCGTGTTGCCCATAGGGAACAGCGGCTGGCGTTTGCTTCGCGGTATCGACGACTTGGAGTTCGTCCTGGAGGCTGGGGTGGGGTCGAAGTGGCGGTTGTCATGTTGATAGTCCTCGTCCATGAGTTCGTCATCGGCTTCCGGCGCCAATAGTTCGAAACGAGGACTTGGGGGTAGGGGTGAGGGGCAGCGGGGACCGAGAGGTCGCCCATTTGGTTGTGGAGACCTGGAGCGGCGGGGAGGGGAGTCGGGCTGAGAAAGGAGGCCGGGCGTCGTTGGGCGTATCGTTGGGGCCGATGATTGAGTCGTGTGTGAGTCCTTGGAGAACCCTGAGGAGCGGGAAGCAGGGCGAATGGCTGGTGGTGGATCCTCTGAAATGCCATGGTTAATGCCATGAAATATGTGTAATCGTTAATACAGGGTCATACCTTCGTATATTGTCTCTTCCACTGCCCTATCCGCCAGTGCAGGAAGGGGTTTTACACCATGTTGATTGCGGGAGTTTTGGCGCGCAAGAGCGAGTCGCATCGCCAGATCCCACTCCGAAGAATCCTTGTCCGCCATCGTATCCAACACCATAGAATCCTCTGGCTCGTAGTCACTATACACATCGCCATTCAATCGTTCGGCAGACGAATCTCGAGACAACCGCTCCGACGAGGAACCCCGCGTCACTGAGCGCGTAGGAGACGTGTTCCTACTATCACTCTCATACAGCGTCGTCCCTCCAGGGGACTTCGCCCTCTTGAACAGCTTCCGAGACTTTATTGTCGTCGAGCTGGCGAAGAACGACGAGTCATCATCTCCTGAAGAGACCGTAGTCGCGGCAGTGGTCGTCGAATTCGACCGGTGGCTGAACTTCACCGATCCATCGCCCGTCGACGTCGACTGCGTGAACACCGACGACCTGCTCGTGCTTGACTTCGTCCTTCTATGCCCGCTGATCGACCCGCCAAAGAAATCTCCCATCGCGGACCCAGGCCGGCTGTTAAACAGATTCCGCGAGATTGCGTCGAGCCCAAAAATAGCTGCCCGGGACCGGATGCTCGCGGTTGGCGTCGAGGGCGCCGAGATGTGTCCTGTTGTGAATTTAAACAACCCGTATTGATTGACTAGGCGTTGCGAGTTATTTACGTTTTTAGATACACAGATGACCTGCAAGTAGGAACTCACTGGTCTGGGGGATCCGTGCAGCCACCCGAGAGCATTGTATAATATCCTCCTCGACCTCGACATTCGGATCACTGGACGTAACTCTATATCTCGCAAGGTCACCTGCCATCGGCTGGAGCCTTATCACGACATAAGGCGGGGCAGCCATACCAAATGGCAAAGGATCAGCCGAGCCCAACGCGTCGATATGAACGACGACTTTCGTCTTCTTCTCCTCTTGAAGGAAAGCCGTCCGAGTGTAGACGTTATAATATGTGCGCGCCACCGTGGTTCGTCCGGAGTGTGACTCAACCTCTCTCTCATCCGCCCGGAGGACAACAGATTGACCCGCCCGGGCACGGTACCGCGCTTGTGTACTCCACAGATTCTCGAGGAAGCGGCGTTTATCCTCTTCTGTTTGAGTCGGGTCCATGTTAACAGGCATAGGTGGGCGCACAACCGCAAACGAACGGAACGGCCTCCCTGACCACCTTTCCGACTGATCTTGAGGGGGGCTCTCCAGGTAAAAATGCATATCTGTGCATCACATGAGGTGGCAAAACAAAACAATGAACTGATTTACGCACCTGCTCCGCCAACGTCTGTGGCGACAACTTCCGTTATATCCATAATTCCTTTGCACACCATCCCACTCTTCTTCTTTCCCGTCGGCAAACCACCTCCTCTTGTAACTTTATCTAGGCCCTCCAAGCCCGATAATGCGGCTCCACTCTTCTCTCCATTCCCCGGCCTCTTCACAATCATGAGCTTGTCGTCGAAGAGAAACAGGGTACAGTGTAGGGCGCTCCCTGCTAAGTTAAGGTTCGTCGAAGACGCGTTCGGCGCGTCCGTTATGATGTCTTGGACGTCAATGCAATCAATGAATCGACGAGAATGAGAGAATAGGCCAGGAGGGAAGCCATCGACTGAAGCACTGAGACAGTACATGATAGCGGCGCGTTTCGTCTGTTCGTCCGCCTCTGCTTGTGCGATTTTGCTCGCAATCTCGTCTGCTTCGATGAGCTTGGCTCGCTGAGGATCATCCTCGGCCATATGCTTGATCATGGTGCGGAATAATAGGGTGTATCGTGGAATACGTTGAACTGGTTCCATGAGCAGTTCGCGTAGACCGACTCGATTACGACTGTCTGCTGAGGAGTATTTGATGCGCTAAACGGGGTTATTACAACGGTCAAAGCGGTAGAAAAGGTAGAGAACATACGTCAATAAAGGCCGCAAATCCCGACGATCTCTTCGCGATTTCCCGCTCGAATATACTCTGCGCCTCTTCTCGCTTCGTGTAATACTGCTTGTAATGCTCGAAGCCCTTCAACTCTTTGAAATGCTTCAGACAGATGTCCCCGATGCCACCAACAGGACCCTCGTCGTTCGATGCCATCATCGCGTCTAGGTCGGCCAGGAAAGCCTCGTTGACAGGGACGAGATTGTCTATGTTACCGAAGAGGGTCTTGGCTTCGTATGACGGTATAATAGCAGTTTCTTTGCTGCGCGAGAACTTCCTGAGAGGATCGGCATAGTCATTCTTGAGCGTCCGAATACGCTGCACGTAGGACCGCTCGGTAGAAACGAGTTCATTGATCACGGATGTGAGGGCCGATGTATTGGTAAGAGCACGCTTGCGCTGGAGGGGACCGTCCTGCATGGTACTGCTGTAAGCCATGGCCCAGTAATAAGAACACGGAGCACCGACAGTATTGTTTATGGCTGAGTTTGAAGACGAAGAGAGTATACTTGTTTCTGAACATGAATCGAGGGGCTCCCCAAGAGATAGGACTAAATCTTGAATATCTGCAGGATGTCAGTACCCAGTGCCTTTACGTCTAGGAAGACCATACCGTCAGGTAGTCTTCTCCCATTTTCTGAGCCTTCAATGACAACACCGCAATAGAATATGCGTTTCGTGAACCCGGGTGGCGGGTGTCGAGACGGTTTGGGAGAGTCGCCTGTAGAAAGAGGGATTACCTTGCGAGGTGAGGTGCTGAGAGCCATTCGAGGAGGAGAGTGGTCAGTGGATGAGTGTAACGATTGTCGACATGAAGCGGTCTCGTAAAGGAATGCAGGGCTCGCGAATAAAGACAAGCAAGTTATCCTCTGCTCTTCAACTTCACCCTTCAAAGTCACGTGGCCGTGATCCTTTTCCAAGTCGCGCCGCACGCAAGAAAATATCAAAAAGAATGTCCGTAGCTGGAATCGAACCAGCGGCTCTTCGGAGCAGGCGATACTCCACAACGAAGTGATTTAACCCCTAATCGATACGGACGCTTGAAGAATGTTCAGCCAGAGACACCCACCATCAGCCTGGCTGTAGTAAATGCCCAAGGGACATCCATGAATCGATTTGTCTCCGAGAAACCGTTGTTTCTCACTTCGTCAGATGCGTTGGCCATGTTCATCACGATTACGGAATATATGATGGAAAGATGGAAAGCATCGCCTCATGTCCATCTGAAGTCTTTGATCATTCCCAGCGTCCACCTTTTGTCCCTCACTCCGACATTGGCGCTGCAAAGTCGAGTGAGGTCCTTTCAGAGTTGTTTGCCACAGTAAGTGTACACGGTCGGGGCTCGGAGATGGAAATAAACATTAGTCGGTCGGTGTAATGGAGGGAAGAATGACTATGTATGAAGGAGTGGAGAATGTAGGGGGCGAAATCTTGACAGATTTTGACAGACTCGGATACTCGAGATACCTCACAAAGGGAGGGGGTTTCGTAACCAGGCTGATGCATGGCATGTACATATACAATATGCCTGGTTGCATACAAAGCCATGGGCTCAACAATGTGTATCTTGAAAGCTTCAAAAAAATGTAAAAGAGAAGTACATTGAACCACACGCAAAATTGTCCGTAGCTGGAATCGAACCAGCGGCTCTTCGGAGCTTAATATGTTCCACAACGAAGTGATTTAACCCCTAATCGATACGGACGATATATATTTGTCCCAAAGTGTGCCACAAGATCTCCAAAAGTTTATTTGAAAGAGATGGACCTGGAGAGAACTTCGTTACATGTCTCGTCCACGTATCACCTCCGTCTCAATCACCTTCTTGGGCACTGCGTCCGCCCAACCATCTTCCACGCGTAATCACTCATCTCTTGCACTACGGTTAGGCGGCGAGGTCTGGCTTTTTGACTGTGGCGAAGCAACTCAGCATCAACTCCAGAGGAGTACTGTGAAACTAGGCAAGATTGAGAAGATCTTCATAACTCACACCCATGGTTCAATGCTCAGTTCAATCGAAGAGCAACCATCTCATGATCTCAACTCGTAGGCGACCATATTTTCGGGCTCATCCCCGTGCTGGCCAGTCGTCTGAATGGCGCAGGTGGTACTGTCGACGATGCCGACGATCCAAGGAATCAAGTCGATCACCAAATACCAGTCAGGACCCCATGTACATCCTTGACTACTTTATACTTACCCTTTCTCAGCCGCTAGAAATATACGGGCCCTATGGGACGCGTGCCTATGTTCGCAGTGGCTTGACGTACACCCATACCTTGCTCTCTGCCCCGTATGTTGTCCACGAGCTCCGCACACCATCCGATCCCCCATCTGGCGACAACATTTCTTTACCGCTGCACTCTGCAGAACTACCATCCGGGCGCGATATTCTGCAGTCGGAAGACCAACCGCTATGGACAGATATCTACAAAGACCCCGTCGTGTCAGTATCCGCCGCCCCGATCTTCCACTCTGTACCATGCGTAGGATACGTCGTTACTGAGGCGCCCATCCCCGGTAAGATCGACCCCAAGCAATACGCGCCAGAGTTGAAACGCACTGGGGCACCTATGACTCTGATGAGGCAACTGCAACAAGGAGAGTCCGTGGAACTTCCTGATGGGACCATTCTCCATGGCCCAGCTCGCCGACCTGGGCGTAAGATCGTTATCCTGGGAGACACGTACGATGCATCACCTATCATACCACTTGCCAAAAACGCGGATATCCTCATTCACGAAGCAACGAATGCGCACTTGCCAGGTGTCGATCCGCATACGAAGGCTACAGACACATACCAGAGCGTTGAAGACAGAGCAAAGTCGAGGGGGCATTCGACGCCTGAAGTAGCGGGAGACTTTGCTACGCGTACGAGTGCCAGAAAGCTGCTCCTTAATCACTTCTCTGCGAGGTATCCTGGGGACGACCATTGCAACGAGGCATCGAAGAAGGTGATGGATGCGATCAAGGCGTTGGCGGCGACTGAGTACGAAGGCGAGATCGTTTGCGCAAGGGACTTCATGACTATTGACTGTAAATTACCGGTTTCGGAATGAATAAACTCTGTTGGAACCGGGAAGTAAATCGCATAGAAATGTGAACTCCTCGGAAATACAATATTGAATGAATCACTCAGGCGCGTCCGACAGCTCTGAGCTTTCGTCACTCGCCTCGCCCTCCTCTAACTCCTCTCTTATCCGTTTCACCTTGCTCCCCTTGCCCAAATTCGAATTGTCCTCCTCGACCTCTCCCATCTCAATATCATTCTGCCCCGTCTCGCTTCCCTCCGTGCGCGTTATCTGTCCCTCCGCCGGGTAGGAATCGACCCTATTATTGTCGCTAAATGTCTCCCCTTCCTCCTTTTCTTCCTTTATATCCAAGGACATAGACGCCTCACCCCGCGAGCTCTCTCTACCCGTACCCGCGCTGTCCACAGTCTCGCGGCCCTCGTCAGGCCCAGGCGACACCCTCGGTGTGTTGACCACAGATGCAGACGCCATGTCGATGTCTTTTCCCGTGAAGCGCAGGGAGCCGAGGTTGGCGATGATGCTGTCCAGAGCGGATTTTTGGTTGCGTATTATACGGTCCTGGGAGTCATGCTCAGACTTGATGGCAGCCATGTCGCCTTCGAGTGCCTGAATAGACCTTATATACCCATATTTCAGTACCAATGGCAATAGGTTGAGAGGGAATAAACCAACTGTTCTAACTCTTCTCTGCTGGGGAGCATGTTCACTTTTTCTGCAATAGCATCGTATTCCAGTTTCCGCCTTCTCTGCAGCTGTGCATGTTCCAAGCTCGTCTTCAGTTGCTCAATCTGCCCTTTCAGTGTCCCGTGCTCATCCTCTGTTAAACTGACCGTTCAGTCTCCACAAATACCAACCGAACCCGAGTATCATAAGCGAAGTGTGACCACTTACCGATCCTCAACCGCTCGCGCTGATACTCCTCCACCTGCCGCACCTCGCCTTCACATATCATCACGCTTTTCTTCAGCATCAGATGGAACGACGACAGCTCCACGAGAAAGGCCTCCCGCGCATCGTCGACCGCCACCTCCGCCTGCGCCGATCTGCCCGTCTGGAACGCGATGGACGTGTACGCATGGAACTTCTTGATGACGCGCCGCAGGGGCCGCTCGTCGTTCGTTATGCGCGTCAGGATGACATGATCTAAACCACAATTGAGCAAATGAACGAGGGAACGAGTGGAGCTGAAGGTGAGTTGGATGGGGGACTGAGCGACGCTGGGAGTTGGTGTGTACCTTCTTCTTCCGCGGTCAGTGGTGGAAACGAGATGTTTTGATCTCGATTTGAGTTGAGAGCAGACGATTGTGCTGTGGCATTGTTTTGTGTGGTCGCCATCGAAGCGTGGTGCGCGTAATGGTCAAGTTGGGGGTAAGGGAGTAATGCATTGCGGGTGTATACACTTGTACTTACCACCAACTGGGACAATCAGGCTACTTATAGGGGTTCTGTAGTCATGAAAATGCGCGACGGGCTGCTACCTGGTATATAATAAGTCCCGTCTACATACAAGCATCCGACTAGATAGCCAGGGGACCCATTTTACAGAACAACCGCTGTAAAGAACCCTCTTTCTACCCCCACTCTTCCGAGTCGGGGACGAAGGGCGTAACGAGTTCGTACGTATCCTCGTTCCCTCCGCCGCGTCGAGGCTTATTCCCTCTACCAATAACCCTCTTGAACAGCCCCCCGACTCCACTCCTCTCGTCGTTGTCATTCAATTCCGTATCAACATGTGAGTTCGGGAACGCCTGGTCGACCATCTTCGCGAGCTTGCGCATTCCGCTGGAGCTATCGTTGATATACCTCCGAGATTCCTCCAAGGCCGTTTGCAAGTACATGGCTAGGTTCGGGAAAGTCACTGGGAGGGAGGGGAACGGTAGGTTCTCCGTCGAGGGTATAACGTAGTATTTGGACACGGCGGAGTCCGAGTCATGGAGAAGGGTAGGCACGGAACCTAGAGTGAAGGCGTATGGCAGCTGGCTGGTATCGTTGTTCGCGTACCTGTGAGCATTGGGCGCGTTGGGCGGTATTGGATGGTCGATTTTAAACCAAAGAACAACCCGCCAGTCAGGAGCGGAATGGTGAGGCTACACCACACTAATGAGTACAAACTGTCCATCCACAAACTGGTGAAAACAAACATACCTTTACAAATTGAACGACAGTGCGAAGATGAAGCGCATGCTTAGCGACCGCTATGCCTTCGATAGTGGGTTCCATTTTGGTGCCACTCAATCTCGCCATCAACTTAAGCAGACTACGCCAAGTGGGGGCTTGGAGGTGCAAAGGAGGGCACTTTCCGTAAGGGAGATTGATGATATTAGGGAAAGTGCCTTGCATCGGCACGGGCCGTTGCATCACACTGGGAGACACAAATCCAATGGCTAACCCGTAGTCAGCACGGAGCCATGCGAGGAAAAATTCATCAACTCACACACGCCTCGAAGGAGGCCAGAATCTACGAAGTTGTTCGCGTTGACAGGCATCGGCATCGATGCGGGCCTGGCTTCTATAGCCGAGCTTGGCTTCAGCGGACGAAGAGTAGGGGAGGTGTCCACTATCGGGCTTGAGGGTGCATACGAGAGGCGGGGGGACGCTTCGCTTGATGGACTCGAAGGGTCGCGCGAAGGAGAGAGCGGCGCTTCAGAGTGCGACGAACTTGATGTTTGTGCCCGTGGTAATGTCGGCCTCGACGGCACAGACAGACTCGACTCATTCCGTTGTTTCTGAGCGATGGCTCTCTCATAGGGCGAAGTTGATTCGAACGATGTATTGCTCGAGCTCCGCGATAACGATGCTTCGTCGTTGGCACTGCTGGCGACGACATCGTCGTAAGCCGGCAAAATTGGTTGCGACGTAGATATCGTTGGAAGTAACTGAGGAGAGGATGGTCCGGATGGGGAGTAATGGGAGCGGGAGGAAGAAGGGGATGTTGAACCTATGGGGGGACTCAGAGCGTCTGACCTATTGGATTGCTGTGTCGCGTCCTCTGAAAGCTGTCTCGGAGTAAAGGCTTCAGGAGAAGAATCCACACGGAAGGGGGAAGATGGATAAGATTTAGAAGAGCCTTGCTGCTGTCCGCCGTACGGAGGTGCGCCTGAGCTTGCATGAAGTTCCTCTTCCGCTGCTAAACGTCTTGCTAAAGCCTCGTCTTCAGACAACGGTGGTATGGCAGATGATTTGTTGGGCCCAGCAGAGTTAAGAGATTTGACTGGCGAGCTAGCAGTATCCTCGTTTGCTAACCTTCGAGCTAACTCCTCATCTTTGGATGTATCAACTCGAATGTCCAACATTCGGCTAGCCATTTGCTCTTTCTCCAATTTCGACGGAGAGGAACCTGTTCGTGCCTGGTCTTCTTCATGATGAAAGAAGGGCGGCGTAGAGATGCGATGAATAGGCGACGGTAGCTCTGGGATGGTGGAGGGAACAAAAGGGAGGGAATGCGGTATAGCTTGTCCAGGAGTATAACTATGTGCCCTAGTCATCTTGTCTCTGGACGGACCTGCGCCTCCTAGAGACTCTGAATGCGATCTTGCATTGCGATTAGACAGATTCATAGACTCGGACAGGGCTCGCGCCAGATCCTCGTCTTCTTGGGAAGATAACTTCTGCGCGAGTTCAGTCTGTCGGGTAATTTCTGACTGAGAAAGGGCTAACGCCAATGCTAGGTCGT